TCGCACTATGTCCCCGTGTACATGTCCTATGGGAAAAACCTCACAAAATAAAAACAGAGTGCAGCCATCTTCCTGAACAGAAGAGACGTAACTCAGAGTCCAGGAAGGTCACGGTAGCTGGAATGTGTGGGGCAGTGCCAGAAAGAGGAGTTTTGAAGACCCAGAGCACCCGTCCTCTCTTTTCTTTTTCCCCCCCCAGCCATGGACGTCTGACGGGCAAACAGAAACTGCACGTTTAAGGCACACGACGTGATGTCTTTGGTATACATGCGCCATGCGTGGGGCTCTCGGGAAAGCCACGGCGTATTTTTTCTATGCAAAAATGCTTCATGACCTTTCCGACAACCTGACGGCGTGATTCTGATGATTAAAGTAGTTAACAACTCCACCACGTCACACGTACCGGGAACATTTGCAATCTACTCTCTTGGCAAATTTCAAGTAGACACTATAGTATTCTTTTTTTAAAGAATTATTTATCTAATTTTATTATTATTTTTTTTTTTCCAATTTGACCAGAGAGAGAGAGCAAAAGGGAAAGTGAGAAAGCAAGCCACTAAATCTGGGACTCAGACCACAGTCAGCCATAGGGGAGTCCAGCGGCAGAGCCCCCACGCCACCTGCTGGCCTCGACACTACAGAACATTAGCTATGGTCACCATACTATATAGTGGGTTTCCGGGGCATTGTCATCCCACGTAACTGCGACTCTGGCCCCATTTCCCACACTCCAGCCTCTCTGCCCCAGACGGTGGGTATGAAGCACTTCATTTCCCTAAAAAGCGGACAGAGAATGACCACACTCGCTAGCATGTGCATAGGAGCAGTGAGTTGAGTCGTAGAAAAGGTCAGTTAAAAAGCAAGAAAAAGGAAAACTCATACAACAAAGAGGGAATGCAAGAGGCAGGTAACAGGGCCGGCAGGTGGTGCAGTGGTTAAGGCACTGGCCTCCCACATGGCTGACCACGGTTTGAGTCCCGGACCTGGTGACTTGTTTTCTCACTTTCCTTCTCAGTCTCTTTCTGGTGAGCACACATGCCCTGCAGCAAATTAAAAAGACGATAATAATGATAAATAAAATTCAATTTTTATTTTTAAGAAAAGAACGAGGTAACATAGTCAAATATCTATTGTACTTTTGCAATCTTTACGAAAGGTAGCCCCCAAACTTAAGGCTGGGTGCTTGGTCATGCTAGCGAGGAACATCCCTTCACCAGGTGGCAGCAAAGAACAAGATACAGAGTAAGAGAAGCAGGCAAACCTCCGAACCAAGGCCTGTCTCTATCCGGAAGGGCCTTTCCCAGGCCCTGGCCACACTTTCGGATTTGTATCCTACCCAGGATCGTTTCTCCAGCTCTGCCCAGTGTCTAACCTCCACGGATAGGCTACATCGTGAGTACACAAGCCCGACAGCCAGACAGGGTTGTCTTAGTCCCGTGGTCGCTGGGGAGGTCGGGTGGGGGGAGGGCTAAGAAGTGACCATGTGACTCAAGACTAGTTAATGAAGAGTGGAAAGCCTAGCTATCTAAAGGGAAAGATTTTCTTTTTTTAAAGAATTATTTTATTTAAATTGTAATTAATTAATTAATTTTAATTTGACTAAAGAGGGACAGAGGGGGGAGGGAAAGTGAGAAGGTAAGCCTCTAGATCCGGGACTCGAACCGCGGTTAGCCAAGTGAGAGTCCAGCACCCTTAACCACCATGCCACCTGCTGGCCCCTCTTACAGGGAAAGATTTCTTAGCTCTTAAAAAAAAAAAAAACTTAAAAACTTAAATAGGGACCAGCAGGTGGTACGGTGGTTAATGGATTCCCACATAGCCGACTGCATGGTTCAAGTTCCAGAGGATAACGGAGGAGAAGGGATAGCAGTGTGGCCATCCCACTGGGGGATGAGTTCACATTTTCCCTCTGTTTCTTTCTGGTGAGTATAAGCACCCTATGGCAAAAAACTAAAAAACAAACAAACAAACAAACAAAAAAACCCCACAAAACCAGCAAGAGCCGTCATTGTTTTCCCTGCCACCCTAAGCCCCATTGTGGGGCCAGGGCCGCCCGGACTGGCTGCCTGTTTTGGACCACGTTTTGGGCAGAAGAGGCACTGTGACTGCCCTGCAGGACCCTGGGGCAGGGGAGGTAGGGTCCCAGAAGGAGGGCACTATCGAGGGAAGAGGGCGCTCTGGGCAGTCGGGGGAAGGGGGCGCTCGGGGCAGTCGGTGGCGGCAGGGTCACGCTGCAGCCACACAGTCACACCCTCTACTTAGGGTACTGCGCGTTCATCTGTTGGGTCATTTTTTTGACATATCCTCCCCAGACTGGAACTCCATGAAGGTGTGATGAGGCGTACTTTTGGTAACCTCAGCGTCCTCTGGCAAAAAGTGGGCACTCAATAAACATCTGGTGAATGGGCTCCTGACCTGTCCGAATTCTGTGTTCGCCCTGCCAGCAGAGTGGCCTTAAAATGTCAATCGGGTCATGCCACTTCCCTGCTTGTACTCTACAACTTCCTGGAGATGTCCAGCTAACCCCTTTGGTTCGTCACAAATTGGACCCACTGCTGTCGCGTCCCCACTGCTTCAGCCATCCTGAAGGACTTACGGTTGTCCCCCGCCTCCCTTTTTGTGTATGTTACTCCTTCGGTCTCTTCGGTCTCGAGTGCTTTTCCACAACTCTTTCACCAGCCAACTCCAAGGAGTCCTTTGGAATTTGTCTCTGGTCGCCTTTTATTTTTATTTATTTATTTATTTATTTATTTTTGGAGAGGTTTTTGCTATAGGGCGCGTGTGCTCGCCAGAAAGACAGAGAGAGACAGAGAGATAGAAAGTGAGAAATC